AAAAAAAAAATACCAGCAGTGATAACTGCAACCAAAAATAGCGAGGTGTTGTGGTGGGTGCCTGTAGTCCCAGCTACTGGGGGGTTGGAGGGGTGCTGAGGCAAGAGAATCACCTAAGCCCAAGAGTTGGAGGTTGCTGTGAGCTGTGATGCCACAGCACTCTACCAAGGGTGACAAAGTGAGACTTTCTCAAAAAAGAAAAGAAAAAAAAGGGTCAAATGTTTACATGTTAAAATACAGACTGCTTTTTTCCAATTTTTAAAAATTGAAGTATGATTAACAAATTTTGCATATATTTAAGGTGTAAAATATGGTGATTTTGTATCATTATTCCTGGATAGTAATTCATAACAATTAAGCTCAAGCTAAGTACATATCTGTCACCTGACATTGTTTTTTCTTTCTTATGGTAAAAACACTTAACAACATTTGAAAAATTGAGGTCTGCGATATATGATTATTAACTATAGTTACCATTCTGTAACTTAGAGCTCTAGAACTTATATATGTTTTAACTGAAAGTTTGTATCTTTTGACCAATATCTCCCTATTTTCCATAACCCCTCATCTCTTATAACTACCACTATTTATTCAATTTTGACTATTTTAAATTGCATGTACAAGCAACATGCAATAATTCTCTTTGTGATTGTCTTATTTCACTTAGCATAATGTTCTCCAGTATTTTTATAATCATCATTGTCACTCTTTGCAGATGACATGATTTTATACATGGAAAACCCTAAGACTCCACCAAAAATCTGTTAGAACTAATAAATGAATTCAGCAAAGTTGCACAATACAAAATCAACGTGCAAAAATCTGTATGTCAACAGTAAATATCTGAAAAAAATCAAGAAAGCAATCCCACTTATATTTGCTACAAAAATACATCCCTAGGAATAAATTTAACCAAGGAGGTGAAAGATTTCTGCTATGAAAACTCCAAAGCATTGATGAAAAGAATCAAAGCGAACGCAAACAGGCTTGGCGTCTGTAGCTTAGTGGCTAGGGCACCAGACACATACACTAGAGCTGGTGGGTTCAAATCCAGCCCAGGTCTGCCAAACAGCAATGACAACCACAACAAAAAAATAGCTGGGCATTGTGGCAGGCTCCTGTAGTCCCAGCTACTTGGGAGGTTGAGGCAAGAGAATCGCTTGAGCCCAAGAGTTTGAGGTTGCTGTGAGCTGTGATACCACAGCACTCTACCCAGGGTGATATGGTGAAGACTCTGTCTCAAAAAAAAAAAAAAAATCACACACACAAGTGGAAAACTACCCTACGTTCATGGATTGGAAGAATCTTTTCAATGTCCATACTTCCCAAAGCAATCTACAAATTCAGTGCAATCCCTATCAAAATAACAGCTGGCTTGTGGTGGCTCACTCCTGTAATCCAAGCACTTTGGGAGGCTGAGACAGGCAGATCACTTGAGGGCGGGACTCTGGGGCAACATAGTGAGATTCCTTCTCTACAAAAAATAGTGGGGTGTGGTGGTGCACACCTGTCATTCCAGCTACTTGAGAGGCTGAGGCAGGAGGATCACTCAAGCCCAGGAATTTAAGGTTTAAGTGAGCTATAAAGTTGCTACTGCACTCTAGCTTGAGTAATAGAACAAGACCCTGTCTCTAAAACAACCCCAATGATACTTTTCACAGAAATTAAAAAAAAAAAATCCTAAAGTTTGTGTGGAACCACAAAAGACCCCGAATAGCCAGAACAATTTTTAAGAAAAAAACAAAAATCTCAAAGCATCACACTACACAACCTGACTTCAAGATAAATTATAAAGTTCTACTAACTAAAAAGAATTGTACTGGCACAAAAAAAAACCCACATAACAACAGAGTTTCCAGAAATAAATCCACATATTTATAGCTAACTGACAAAAGCACTAATGATACACATTGGCAAAAGGACAGTCCCTTCAATATAACTTTTTTTAAAGTCTCACTCTTGCCCCATGCTACAATGCTATGGCATCATAGCTCACTGCAACCTCAAACTTCTAGTCTTAAGCAGTCCTCTTGCCTCAGCCTCCCTGAGCAACTGGGAATACAGGTGGCCACCACAATGCCCAGCTTTTTTTTTATAGTAGAGTTGGGGTCTCACTCTTGCTCAGGCTG